TTCTGTCTGCTTGCAGTGATCTCTCATGACCCTAAAAGGCCAACCTGCTGCGATATGGAGATGCTCACGAATATAGAACCATTGAGAAAAATCACAAGTTGTTACATCCTTCCAGCAACACGCAAATGTCTTGCAGCAGTAGTGTAAGTCAGTTGAGCAACATTTAAAGAAATCACCTATCTGTGAACTCTCTTTGTTAAAGAGCATTTTAATTTGTCTATATATGCGGTCTAAATGCATTTTCTCCTTTCATCTTTACAGGTTCATTGATAAAGATGATGAGTTGCACTGCATTGATCCAAAGGCTCCATGGCTCAGTAGAAGGATAAAACGTCTACAAAAGGTTAGAATTTACAGATTACGTTTTTGAAAAAATCTGTGGAGTGAGTAAGGAGTAATACAGAACAGCTCAACTGAATAAAACATGACAACCTCTGCAGGGTTTATACCAACACATTGTGTATATTGGCATATATATCATGTAAAGGGCCACTTCCTAACCTGTTTTTCTTCTGTTCTAATTCAACAGAATGGTATAATATGTGACAATAAGACTAAATTTTAAGATACACACATGGGGACTAAACATATGTGAACTTCACCCAGAACTTGGTCTTCAGCAGCCACACCAGCAAGAATCTTTTTCCATCCCTGTTAGTCAAGCTATACACAATTCTGCTCTAAACCCTAAACACACACGGCTCTTCTACGCTGGAAAAATATGTTGAACATATTGCACAAAGGAAACAATCTGCGGTTCGCTTTCACACTTAGCTGCTATGCAGTCTAAGTATGGTTATCCCTTTGTCTTTTTATTTATTTTTCAAATATGGATGTTCTAGTTTTATTTATAATGCTTAATTTATACATCTTTATTTTCTTTTTAGAATTAAATGTATTAAACATTTGCAAACTGTTTTTTGTTTGTTTAATATATTTAATTTGTTTCTAATTTAACAGAGTATATATTTATTTTCCTATTATGACTTATGTAATATTATTTCTCTTTTTTCTCTAACTAATGACAAACATCAGTTAAATTTCTTAAAGTGCTTAAAAAAAGTTTATTGGATGCAGTATGTATGTAAGCAATGAGAAACTTTAATAAACACTTTACTAAATATTGGTCTTCGACTATAAAGATAATGTGAAATCTGATTTTTCGAAAAACCAATTAACAGAATGTAACTAATGTCTACTGAGACTGTCTTATCCTTTGATTAAAGGCCTGAGGCCTACAGCAATGAGGAGAGGTTAGCGACATCTTACAAAAGGTAGCGTGAGTTTCACAAGTATTCTGACATAGATTTAGCCCAGAGGTCACAGTAGAGATGAGATGAACACAGACACACACTCACACCCTATGACTGTATGATGAAACAGCAGTGTCATACATTCCGTTTCTCTATACAACACTCTAATTATGGGAACTGTGCATCATCTTCTTCCAGACTAATAACTGTCAGACATGTGTAAGAATTTGCTCATTTAGGAAACGTTCAGTCTAAAGCTGTGAGAACTGATCTCAGACAAATCTGACTTGTAAGCAATCAGCACCATGTTAGAAATTAATAATAAAAAAAGAAGAAGAAGAAGAAGGCTGTGAAAATAAATGTTTATCCTTTTGATCTTTTATTCAAGAAAAATCTAACCTTTCATTGAAGTAAAACAAATGAAGGGGGATCTCATTATGAAATAAATGTGTTTCTCCAATTCATGGTGGCCATAGTTATTGGCCCCCTTTTACTGAATACTATTTGCAATCTTCATTTGCCAAGATAACAGAGTCTTCTTGTATAATGCCAGATGAGGTTGGAGAATGCCTAACAAGAGTTTGGAGACCATTCTTCTATACAGACTCTCTCCAGGTACATGTTGATGCTTCTTCTCTTCAGTTCAAACCACTCATTTTCTATAGGCTTCAGGTCAGGGGACTGGGATGGCCATGGCAGAACCTTCATTTTGTGCTCTGTGACCCATTTTTGTGTTGATTTTAATGTTTGCTTTTGGTTTATTGTCCTTGTTGACTCGTACAGCTTGAAGAAACTGGCAAAGACTGCTTCTTCATTTTCGGTGGCTTTATTGACCACGCACGCACATCACACGGCCGTGATACATGCTTAACATACGACTACCACACCGAGAGGGGGGCGGGGCCAGATAGAGAGAGGCCACACAATCACACATAATTAGTGATGTCACACACATCGATGCACTACAGTCCTGTTGGAGGATCCAACCAATGCTTATTATAAGACTATGGTAACACTTTATTTTGATGGTCCTTTTTGAACATTCTGTTGACAATAAGTAATTTCTAACCCTAACCCTACCAGTCTATTAATACTCTACTAATACTGTATGAGAGTTAGTAGACATGTAGGTGCAACGTTACTTATAGTCAACAGAATGTGTTAAAGGGACCATCAAAATAAAGTGAAACCAGCACTTTTTTTAGTTTCATCTGACCATAGAACCATGTCCAGTTTTAAGTTCCAGTAGTGTCTGACAACTGAATATATGCTGGAGTTTGTTTTTGGATGAGAGCAGAGGATTTGTTTACTCTTAAAAAAACCTCCCAAACAGCATGTGGTGATGTTGATGTGATGATCTTTATTGATTGATTGATTGGTTGAGGCTTTTTGACTCCCAAGACTCAACTAATATCTGCAGTTCTCCAGCTGTCATCCTTAGAGAGTCTTTGGCCACTCAAACTCTCCGCCTCATCGTGCATTAGGATGATACAGACACACATCTTCTTTCAGGCAGATTTGGAACATCTCCAGTTGATTGGAGCGTTTTAATTCTTGCCCTAATGGTGGAAATGATTATTTTCGATGCTTTAAATATTTTCTTACTGCCACTTTCTATTTAGTGAAGCTCGACAATCTTGTTCTGCACATCAGAACTATATTCTGTTGTGGTGGATGATTAATGGAATTTGGCTTGGTATTAACTCATATTTATACTCCCATGAAACAGGAAGTCATGGCTGGACAATTTCACGTTCGTAGTCACCCTGGTGTGCTAATCTGTGGAATGCAAAAGAAGATATTTTTGAACAATGGAAAAAATACTGAGACTTTTCTTTTTAGCTTTGCGTGTGTGTGTGTGTGTATGTGTGTGTGTGTGTGTGTGTGTAAATAATGACCATCTTTTTTGAGTGAACTACTTTTTGTTCTGTCTATATTTCATTCATTTTATTATTTATTTTTAAGGTGCCATAGAATGGAAAACTGTATTTACCTTGGCATAGTTGAATAATAACAGTTCTGTACATGGAAATGACATACCGTGGGCCACAATAGTTTCCTCCTTCTTATGTAAATCTCGCTCATGCAAAAGACCACTGAAAAATAGGTGAATCAGAACATAACACCGACTGTGACGTTACAGTCGGGATCACTAATAGTTACGCCCCCAATATTTGCATATACCCGCCCATGTTCTATGCCAGCCGCCAGCCGAACCTGCACAGGCGATTCATCAGAAGTTCTGCAGGTATTGTGAAGAAACAAGCGAGGATAATAGCGAAAATTGCAGATCATGGAAATAACGGTTATGTTCCAGGCTGTGCAGGGGATGTGATGTGCAGGGATGGGTTGGTGTCTGTATTCAGAAAGGCACAAAACAAATAACGCGCGTTCTAATAAAATAATGCGAGTCACTAAAGGGACATGGTTAGCTGCTTGCTAGCGGTAGCCTGTTACATTACAGTACATAAGATTTCACTTACCACATAAACAGAGTCAGGAGAGATGACTGAGGATGATGGCGAATGATTTACAGATCCTGAGCACCACTGACAAGCATCTGATCTTGTAAAATGTGTGGTAAGTACTGCCGCTGTAGTTTACACAGAGCACATGCTATCACAAATCTCGAAAGTGAGTGTAAAAAGTGATCGTGCCCCGCATATTAATAGCGGCTCCCTGATGCCCACATTTTATATACAGTATAATTACCCAACGATATAACTGCGAGAGACAGTATTGAAATATATATTTTCCCTGTGTTTCCTTCCTGCTGTGTGAGCTACTGAAATGAGCCGCACTGTGAAACAGCCAATCAGAGCAGAGCTCAACATTATTATTCATGACCCTTCCAAATAAGGTAAAAACAGACCATTTCATTCTAGGGACAAATCCTAGGGTTGTAAATGGACATGTAAAACCGTTTCTGGAGATTTTTTGCCCTTACTTAAGCCACATACCTTCTATGTAGATATCAGGGAACAGTTTTAAATATTGTATCAATGCATTCTATGGCACCTTTATTATATTAATTTAGTTTTTATATATTCATTTTCAAAATATAATAGACTTGCAGTCGTGGATGTGTTCCAATCTGTCAGTAAAGGATGCCGTCATGAAGAGAAACTGAAACAGTGTCTTGCAGTTCAGAAGAATCTGACAGTATGGAGCATATGAGTGCGACAATATTGTGAAATGGAAAAACTTGACCCATGCTATCGCACCAGCAAGCAAAACTCCCCAACAAACCTCTTAGGTGAAGTAACAGTAGGATGTCAGCTCTTCCTTCCTATTTTGCTTCATTTGACAACTGGTCAACTTTAGAAGATATATTTATATAAATATACTGAATTTAAAAAAAACAAAAAGCTATTGATAGACTGACTTGTCCTATTGGCATATTAAAAATAAAACACTTTTTTCAGCATACACTGAATTCATATCAATTAAATGACTGACAGCAAGGTTAGAAATTAAATATCATGCAAGAAGGTTTTCAAACAGAGATTCCCCCATCTACATTTACATATATTAATTTAGCACATGACATTTACACCTACTGTCACAAATGAGTGATAAAACAGGAAAATTATTAAATCATTCACAAAAATAAATGTGGCTGCAATGGACTGGATGCAGCCCATGCAGTTTAAGTTCCGCTTTATTCCGCTTTATAGGCGAACTAGTAAGAATCTTGAATATATTCTCTCTGACACAAGAAGCGAGAGCTGAAGATCGACTGTGACAATGAAGACACGCAGGATCCTCATGAGGAGTTTAGCAGTTGCGGTGGTCATTGCATCTGTGATCTGGACTACAACAGGTAACGGCTTTAACTGTTCATACATTATTCTATCTGATGGAAGGATGCAGAATATTGAGGCTTACTTGGTTCTTCTATCTTAGCGCAACATAAGGTGAAATCATGCTGTACTAAAGTCTCCAAAGCAAAGGTGACCAATCGCATCATCAGTTTCAGAAGGCAAAATGAAAGTCTTCCATGTGTGAAGGCCGTCATGTAAGAATCATAGCCTCTTTCTAAAGAAAACATGACACTATTAGAGCTCAACAGCATCTGATGTTATATCTATGCTTTTTCAATGTTTCAACTCTCTTTGACAGCTTTAAGACTGAACGGGGAGAGTTCTGCTGTGATCCTAGACAACGATGGGTGAAGAAGAAAGTTGAGCAGTTAGTTAAAGCCAAAAAGTATGGCGTAACATCACAGTATTTGTAACAAAATAAAAAGCTTATAAAGCGTATTGTGATGCATTTAGTATTGTATTCACGTTTTTTTTTTTTTTTTACAGCAGAGTTTAAAGAAACAAACACCTGACTTCCACGCCACCACCAGCATCATCTATTAGTGACCAAACTCGAGTGGGAGGATCTACACAAGCAACTGACAGCTCACCAGTCATGAACATCAAAAAATAAACTCATAATGAGAACACATTTCTCAGTAGTTATGCATTTTAAAACTAGATTTAAAGTTTAAGAGATTTTGCAGTTCTGTTTTGAAACTTTTTGTAAATTATGCATATTTGAATTGAATATTTAAAATACTATATGATGTCAAATACATGTAGGGCAATTTGACAGTGACAGTTCTTAATTTATTCAGAAACTGAATTACAGTAAAACTGTTTTAGAATAAATGTGGTTTGAAATATTAAGCATATATTTCACATTGAAATATATTTCACTCAATGTGCTGGTTATGAACTTGTGTCATTAACATTAATGTGTCAAGAAGGCTAACGCAAGTCTGAGTGAATTTTAGACTGATTTGCATGAGAACAAACCTGGATTTTTTTTTTTTCATTTGAAGATGCAAATGAACAACTGCAATCTGAAACTACAAATAAACTGTGATCAGCATCTACTGGTTTTGTTTGTGGTTGATGTTTCTGAATGTGTGCAAGAGGTCCTTCCTCAGACATGAAGACATCTTTTCTCTTTAGCCTCTTTATTCTTTTCTTCATGGCTGGTAGCTGGCTATGCACTATTAATTGTAATTTGTACTATTGATCATGTACATTTCATCCATAAACAAATGTTACGCACTGTAGCATGAGTAAGTTGGTACAGTATAAACTTGAGTGCTGACAATGAGAAAGTCTTTATTTATTTTTCTTGTGTCTTTTTTCCACATATTCATGTATGTTTGACTTCTCAGCTTAATTAAAGTCAATACCAAAATATCATCATAAAACACTTTAGATATTAAAAACACAATAGTTAAATCTTCCTTCAACTTCATGCACTTTTATGTCCCAGGGGTTGATTTTTATTCAACAGATTTAATTTTTTATTTTTTTCTCTTATATGAAGGTGACATTAAAACTGTATGGAAACGTTTAATTATGCCCTCATTTATAAATGATCCTTTTTTTTACATGTCTTTTATTTAAACATTCAAAGTCTGTAAAATATGGTCCAATGACTTGTGTGAATATGAGAAAATTTTCTGTATTGATTTGTCACAGGTGTTTTCCCAACATTTTGAATTACGCATTGCAGTGTGTTGCGTTTTAGGGTTAAAGAAAATGACAATAAACATTAAATTACCAACCTTGAAATTATCATCCTTGACTCATCCTTTCAATCATCAAAAATGAAACTCATAAAAAATATGAGTAACAAACAATTGTGTTTATTTAGGATACATACAATTCTAGCTATATATTAACTATATGTAAGACAGAGCAGCTGGCCAATTCATTCCAAAATTGGTTTAATTTTTACCACCATAATTTCTTCCACAAAATTATAATAAAAACACAATACATGCTGTAAAATGTTGAAATGAAAATGTGGTTGAAATGTTTTTCAGAAAAAAAATTTTTTTTAAAATACAATCCACAGAACCAAAAGTGCTCATAGCTGAAGAAACACCCAGTTAAAAGATGGGATGTAAATATAAAAGTTTTTTTTTTTCTAAGATAAAGAACATCCAATTACATCCAAATCAGAAACTCAACACTTCAACTTAAGACGTACGTTTTCAGTTAAAGTTATTATCCCCTAAACGTATTTAACCACTTAACTCATTTCATGTATTGTGGCCTGTTTTGTATTTTCTTTCTAGGGGGCATATAGTTTCTCATAAATTATGTTGATGGGTAAACTGACTGTATTGTGGGTGAGAGGTGTGAATGCTTCGATGATCACTTGAGGCAATGATTTCAAAAGTGTGGTGGTAAGTTTGTGACGCATTATTTCCTTCTGACTGCTACTGTACATCACTTAAAAGACCTCCGCAGAATAACTCACCTACATAATCAACACCGGCTAACTGACCAACACCCAAATTACCTTTGATTTGATTTGGACATCAAGAGCTATGGCATGGACTTCTAGATTAATCACCGTTGCTGTTCTGATCGTACTCATGGGATGTTTCACTGGCGCACTAGGCAACTGTAAGTAACTAAACATGCAGCACTCGGTATTTCAATACCAAAGTCAATGTCACTGTCTCTTCATGTGCTGCTGATAATGAGAAACCTTAAGAAGAGCACTATATTTGCAGGATCTCATACTGCTGTGATCATGAATTTGACTTTTGTCACATGGGGTCTGCAGGCTACTCTTACTGGTTAGAGATTCGAGAGGAAGTGAATATCCTGTCTTCAAAAATACTATATAAAAAGACCTGAGTCTAGTTAGCATCTTCAAAACAGAAGCTAGCCTGCAAACAAATCTTCCTCGTCTGGTTATCTGAATATTTTACAACATCATGCAGCTCTGCTGGAAATTAGCTCTGATGGTGATGGTGCTTGCGTGTGTTACTGCACAGCAAGTCAACTGTAAGTTTTATGATTTGCTATTATTGGATTTGCATTTCTATAATGCCTTTTGTTTTGATTATTATGGATCCTTTGATTTTTAATTAACTTTTTTTTTCCATTTACACTCGGATTTTGCATTTTTTTATTCATTTAATTCAAACCAACATGTTTTCAGACTAGTATTTATGTTTAAAGGCATAATCTACCCCCAAAAAATGCTATTTTGGTTATCATTTACTCATCCTCATGTCGTTACTAACTTGTATGACTTTATTTCATCTGTGGAAGACAAAAGAAGATATTTTGAAGAATTTTGATAGCTAAACAGTTTCCGTTCCCATTGACTTCCATTGTATGGACCAAAAATATAATAACATTCAATGAGAACCGAGAATATCTTAATTTGTGTTCAGCAGAAGAAAGAAAAGAATACAAGTTTGGAAAGACATGAGAGTGAGTAAATGATGACAGAATTTCAATTTTTTTATGTGGATGATCCTTTTAATGATGGTGAATCCATTACTATATATTGCATTAACGGTACCACAGTTTTGTTTTCTTTGATGGAGCCCTTATCAAGATCACGATCATCTCGTTTTCATACATGCACACAATATAAGTACTGTATGCACACAATGTAAGTAAAGTGGAGATTTCAATCTCTGTCTCTCTTTCAGATCGTCGTCCCACTCGTGTTGGAGTGAGCTGCTGTAAGGATGTGTCGAAAGCAAGAATCCCTCCTGCAATTAAACTGATTGGATACAAGCATCAGAATGCTCTGAGTCCATGTGTGGATGCGATAATGTAAGCTCTCTCTACAGTCTTATTTCACAGATGTTAATATGCATGATATTGTGTTCATTTCATTTCATCTGTCCTGCAGATTCTACACAGAGAAGGAAAAGTACTGCTCTGATCCAAAAGCTCGCTGGATTCAAGACCGTCTGAAAGGTACAACCCTAACATTGATATAACAGTTTAATATGATGCTTATGTACTGATGAAAAAACTCATAACATGATCATCTTTCCCCCAGGTCTGGAGGAGATAATGGACTGAGTCAATGGAGGCCTAGAAGATGCTGCAGATCTATCTTTTATATCATTATGTATGTTTATTTAAGCAAAAAAAAAACCATCTTCTATTAGATCCTCTAGCTTATGTGAGTGTTAAAAGCTGTTTAATCGCTTTGTTTTATCTGCTTTAAAAAATAAAATGCAATTTTGGAAAAATAACCATTCAAGCTGCTTACTTTCACTCAAACATCCAGCCTTTTCTATGTAACAGTTTGGACTGTATTTAATCATATTTATGCTGAAGCATTACAGAAATAGTTCACACAAAAAAGTGGAAATCCTGTCATTACTCATCCTCATGTCATTCCCAATCTCTCTTGTGTATATCTCTTATAATGATAATATAATGTTACTTTATAATGTTGTTCTTTTTGAGGCATCAAAGATTTAATCCACCTGTAACTGAATGGAAATAAATAATATTGGGTGAAATATTCCTCTGCCTACTAACTATATTGTGTTACATTAATTGTAATTCTCCATCTAGTGGAGAATATCACCTAATGCACAGAGTAGGTCATAATGCAATTTATCAGCCACATAGAGTGTCAACCCCAGAGTAGTTGGTTAACAACTAAACAAATAATAAATTTTATGGGATTCATAAACAAATAAACATATTTTATTGTTCAAAGACGTTCAAAAACAAATACAAATTTGAATATTTGGTTTTTCCTGCTGCTAAGAGGACCGATGCCGACATATATGCTGCAAAGTTTTAGAAGTAATTCACGTATAAATGCCGGAATCACTCTCAAAATGGCAGTGATTGACATACTGATGACCACAGCAATGGACGGGACAAAAATATGATATGTCAAACATGGGAATTAAGCAATATAAATGCAGACTAATAGATTAATAGAAAAACATTCACATTTTCGGTTCAAAATATTTTTGAAATGCTAATGCCATTATTTGTAAAAGTAATGACTTGTAGATCTTGTGAATCTTACTAACAGATATAGGATAATCAAAAACAGGTTCAGAAATTAACAGGGTTTATGACCATTTTACCTTTGGGTAAAATCCTTTGTTTGTCCATCAAATGTATTCTAACTAGGTGGTTGAATAAAAAAGTTTGGACTTTATATTTAAAAGTTAGCATCAGGTAGCTAGTTAGCTAGCCAGTTAGCATCAGCTAACAATATTTTTCAAATAGGCTATTATAATTTAGTAATTCATAATTATTGATTATATTGATTATAATTATTTGGTGTAAATGTATAAAAAAATTGCTTTGTCAGACTGGGGCCATTTTACCCCACCTGTGGGGGTAAACACCCCTTGGTACAAATTAAATTTTTGTTAAAAATCTAATAACATGAAAACTCTGGACATTTTTCATTCTTTGTTTATAATTTATGTAATTGTAACTAAAACTATGATAACTTTTCTGGACACATTTAACTTTTGTTTCACAGAAAAAAATTACTCAGTCCCTGAACTCTCAGACTATCCATGATGTAGGTGCCTTCTTTCTTCAGTAGAATATTAAGAAGATTTTAGCTGAAACCATGGTCATAGGCTATGGATTACATGGTAATAATGTTGTAAATAATGCTCAGTTTCATGCACAGACCAATCATTTCACTTCATAAGACTTTACTATATCATAAGGAGCCACAGGTATTAATTTTGTGTTCCTTGATATGCTTTTTGTTGTTCTCAGAAACGGGCAGCTGCTGACTTGCATTTTATAAATCACCAAGGCCCACGGTTTCAGCTAAAATTCTTCTTTACTGTTCTACTCAAGAAAAAAAAGTCACCTACATCTGTGATGGTCTGAGGGTGAGTAAATTAACAGAGAACTCTTCCTTTAAGACAGTCACTTGCTTCATTCCTGAATCATCAATTATTCTATCAATTGCTTCATGAATCAGCCGTTTGAACAGATTGACTGAAGGAATGATTCTGTGGCAAAGGCAACTTGTCACCACCTACTGGCAGTTTTATTTTAATTTTGTAGTGCAAATATGTATTTTGTTGATACTGATTTAATTTGATTTGCAATTCATTCTTCCTGATTGTCTTTATTATTATACTTGAATTTATTTTTTAATTAAAAAAACTGAAAAAGTTTATAAATATAAATTAAGAATTTGACATAAAAGATGACACATACATTTAAAAAATGGCCTTACGAAGATTTTAAAAATTGCCCCTGGAAATCAGTTTAAGGAGTGAAATATAAATGGGAGGGTTACTTTCTGTCATTGATCAGAAAGTGCTCCTAAGAAGAAATGTAATCATAGAGCCATGATTAACTAACGTTAAAGGTACATTATGTAACTTTTTTCCTTTCTAGTTAAAAAAACTAAATTGCATGCATTTTGAGCAATAGAATAGCGATAGCAAGCGGGAGTCCTAATTACTCTGGACTCATCATCTTTAGGCATTTTCATACCATTCTTTGCATTTCTGCCACTGTGCTGTCAACTCTCAAGGCCTTTAGTCTCTCCATCAGAAGATTCACACACACTGTGGCTCCAAGAGCGTTTGTCTTTTTACCCTGCAGGCTCTTTGCCACTGCCTCACATGGCTCAAATAGTGCTTAACAGCCAAGAAGACTGAAGAGAGTTTTGCCTTTTAGTGCTTGCTTGTGAAGTCCATGTATTTTGACTCTTGTATCTCCTCTTAATCCTTTGACCTCCTTCAAAGTTTCGAGTGTAGTCAGTATAATAAACAACGTATGATAAACAACAGCGCTGAATCACTTTAGTTCACATGCACCATCACGTTGGGCATAAGCCCAAAAGGTTGGCGATGACATCTTCACAGCCAAACAATGATTCAAAGAGCTGTTTTTTGCTGATTTTTTGTCTTTTGCTGATGCTTTAATAAGAAAAAATAAATATAAGCCTTCTGCTATAAGACTTACTTCACGTGCAACGTCCTGAAGTATAAGATCAAGAGAATGATTGCTACAATGCACATTTAATGAGTGTGGGCTTACTTCTCTCTAGCCGTGCCTGAACACCAGACAAGCGGCCTGTCATGTTATTATTACCATCAAAGCAGTAGCCCTGAAGACAACTGATAGGAATGTTAAGTCTCATAAAAAGGTCTTTCACACACATGAACAATGTCTCCGCAGTAGTGTCGGGGCAGTTCTAAAATCCTAAAAAAAAAAAAATCACAATGTGACTCAAGATTACTGTCAACATACTGAAAACTGCAAGAAAACTGCTCAGATTGTAGGTCCGTTCCATCATCAACTCATACAGCACACCGCCCCAAGTAGTGTCACCTCTAAAAGACAGACCCTTTACAAAATATCGAGGACGTTTCTTGCTGTTTTCTGCTCTTTAGCTGCAATGTCAGATAAAATCGCGCTTATTGGCGTTTGCTTTAATCCAGCAAGTACTCTGACAATGTCTTTGTAAATATCCATTTTTTCATGCAAAGTAAATTCTGATGTGGTTTTCCACAAAAAGCCTATCTGTCTGCCCTTGCTCGGATACGATATGTTTTTGCTCTACAGCTTGGCAGCATGCAAAGCAAAACACGCAGTCCATCTTTACATCTATAGCCACCTCTACTTATCAAACCACTGTGACTGAAAAGAACAGGAAAATGTTTCATCTCCAAAACTTTTGCTTGGAAAATCTTGATTATGTGGTTGACAGCACTGTGTTAATGTTCCTACCCCTCCTGATTTTGTTGCGGTGGTACTTGAGATTATCAGAGGGCCCAGGCTCAGGTATTGGGACAGTCCTGCTGCTGTTAACATGGATATCCCGCTCATTTTCTGATCTGTGCTGCTGGGAGTGAGACCATCATCAACAGTTCTTCTGTTATCAGACTCAGATTCTTTTTCAGATTTGCTTTTTTTAGATTCTGGTGGATTTTTAAAGAAATTAGACATTCTTTTTTTGACTAGCCATAGTTAGCTGACTAGCATAGTTATAATTAATAATTAATTAATTAATTTTTTCCACAGAAATTGTATTTATTTTATTAAGATGATGATTTTAAAATTATGAATTGCTTAAAGGGGTCATATGATGCTGCTAAAAAGAACATTATTTTGTGTATTTGGTGTAATGAAATGTGTTTATGCGGTTTAAAGTTAAAAAAACACATTATTTTCCATATACTGTACATTATTGTTTCTCCTCTATGCCCCGCCTTTTTGAAACGCGTCGATTTTTACAAAACATTTGGGGGCTTTATGCAAATCTTCCCACATAGTGAGGTAGGTATGTGGGGGCGTGTTCGAACGAGCCGTTTTAGGTAGGTGTGGCTAACTCTTAACTTTTATAAAGAATATCTCTTTGGATTTGAGACTTTAGTCTTTGCAACTTTACAGATCTTCTTTATGCACCAAGAGCTTGTAACACTCTAAAGAGAAAGGAAAAAATGAAATCGCATCATATGACCCCTTTAAATAAAATTGGAAATTATGACTTTTTATTAAAAATCATATTTAAAAGTTTGTCATTTAAAAAAATATATTTAAAAATTGTAAATATTGTTTTTACAATAGTTTAGGCCCTTTCTGAAGGCCTAGAGGGCCCTGACGGTTCCCCACTGCTATTTACAGATATGACAGGAATGGGCAAATTAAGCTTCATGAAGCACTGAGGCTTTCCCCAGATTGTTTCGGGAAAAGATTCAAAGCTTCGTGTTGAAAACAGCGCCATCAGGTGGTTTGTACAAAATAAAACAGCCAAAAACCTGCGAAAGAAGCTTCGTTGAACGAAGAGCCACCACACATTCCATAGATAGTTTATGTTACGTGCACAAATTAAAGGCTAAAATCTGGGTAGATTTTTACATTCATTTTAATATATTTATTCATTAATTTTTGAAAACGTCCTTCCAGTAGTGGATGTGTTCCAATCTGTCAGTAAAGGATGCTGTCATTATGACAAGCTGAAAAGGCATTTCAGAAGAATCTGACAGTATGGAGCAGCTACAGTAAGTGTGACAGCATTGTGAAATGCTAGCAAAACTCCCCAACAAACCATTTCAGTCAGCTCTTCCTTCCTATGTTGCTACATTTGACAACTGGTCAAACTAACAAGATATAATATATTTGAATTACTGAATAAAAATCACTCTATTGATAAGCTGAATGGTCCTATTGGCATATAAAAAATAAATAGTTTTAAGCACACACTGAATGTATATCAGTTAAATGACTGACAGCAAGGTTAGAAATTAAATATCATGCAAGAATATTTCCCTATCAAACAGAGATTCCCACATCTACATTTACATGTATTAATTTAGCCCATTTTGACATTTAATTTGACATTTACACCTACTATCACAAATGAGAAGATCACTTCCAATGTAATCTACACGGAAAGCCAGATGATGAAACAGAACAATGATGAGATCATCTATAAAAATAAATATGGCTGCAATGGACTGGATGCAGCCCATGCAGTTTAAGTTCCGCTTTATTGACTATTTAAGGCAAACTAGTAAGAGTCTTGAATAAATTTTCTCTGACACAAGAAGTGAGAGCTGAAGATCGACTGTGACAATGGAGACACGAAGGATCCTCATGAGGAGTTTAGCAGTTGTTGTTATTGCATCTGTGATCTGGACTATAACAGGTAAAGTGCTTTATACTATTTGTATATTATTCTATCTGATGGAACAATACAGAATATTGAGTTTTACCTAGATCTTCTGTCTTAGCAGATGCTGAAATGGTGTACTCATGCTGTACTCGAGTCTCCACAGCAAAGGTGACCGAACCCATCATCGGTTACAGGATGCAAGAGAAAAGTCTTCCATGTGTGAAGGCCGTCATGTAAGAATCACAGTTCCTCTCTAAAGAAAACATGGCATGATTAGAGATCGACAGCATCTGATATTATATTTATGCGTTTTCATCTTTTTCACTCTCTTTGTCAGCTTTCAGACTAAACATGGAGATTTCTGCAGTGACTGGAGACAACCATGGGTGGAGAGGAAAGTTTTGCAGTTTTTGTAAGTTAAACCCAACAAGTATGGTAAAACATAACATAAAAAGCATATAAAGTGTTCACATTGACGTATTTGGTATAGTTTTCCTGTGTTCACTTTTCTTTTCTTTTTCTTTTTTTACAGCAAAGCTCAAAGAAACAAACGCCATTCTACCACCACCAACATCATTCATTAGAGACCAAACTCGTGTGGGAGGATCTACACAAACAACTGGCAGCTCATGAATCCTCAATGTCCAAAAGTAATGAGAACACATCTGTCCGCTGAACACAAGACGCTGTTGTATTTAGAACATTTTTATAATTATTCATAATTAAATTGAATATTTCAAATATTATGTTGTCAAATATTTGAAAGTGACAGTTCTTAAATTATTCAGAAACAGAATTATAATGAAACTGTTTTAGAACAAATGTGGTTTAAATTAAATATTAGCATACATTATATTTCACATTGAAATATATTTCATGTATATATTTAAATGTACTGATAATGGACTTTCTAATGCACTCCCGTGTCAAGAAGGCTGATTTAAGTCTGAGTGAATTTTATACTGATTTGCATGAGAACAAACCTGGATTTTTTTTTTTCCTCCATTTGAAGATGCAAATGAACAACTGCAATCTGAAACTACAAATAAACTGTGATCAGCATCTACTGGTTTTGTTTGTGGTTGATGTTTCTGAATGTGTGGTCCTTCCTCAGACATGAAGACATCTTTTCTCTTTAGCTTCTTTATTCTTTTCTTTGTGACTGTTTGCAGGTTATTGGACCTTGTACTACTGATTATGTATATTTCATCCATAATCAAATGTTGTGTAGCATGAGTAAGTTGGTACAGTATGAACTTGAATGCTGATAATGAGAAAGTCCTTTTTCGTGTGTCTAATTTCCACATATTCATGTACGTTTGACTTCTCAGCTTAATTAAGGTCAGTACCAAAATATCATCATAATCCACATTAAATATTAATAACAGTTAGATGTCCCTTCAACTTCAGGTACTTTTATGTCCCAGGGGTTGATTTTTATTCAACAGATTTTATATTTTTATTTCTGCTATATAAAGGCCACAATAAAGTGGTCTTGGAAACTTTTAATCATGCACCAATTTATTAATGCTTCTTTTCAAATGTCTTTTATGTATTATTCAAAGAAATGTCTGTAAAAATAGGGTCCAATGTATTGTGTTTATATGAAGAAATTTTCCGTACTGATTTTTCACAGGTAGGGTTAAAGAAAATGTCTATAAAGTTAACATGAAATTACCAGTACGTTTTAAATTTTTCTACTGATTTTTTTCCTACAGTGTATATTTTACTGTAATACTCTTGTCTCAGAGTTTCAATCATCAAAATATAAAAATTCATAAAAAATTGAAAATATTTATTTATTCCAATTAATTTTAAATAGACTTGAGACTTGATAGCACCTTCAAAACAGAAGCTAACCTGCAGAAATTTGATTATCTGAATATTGTACACCAACATCATGCAGCTCTGCTGGAAATTAGCTCTGATGATGATGATGATGATGATGGTTCTTGTGTGTTACTACGCAGCAAGTCAACTGTAAGTTTTGAGATTTCTTTATAACTGAATTTGTACCTTTATAATGCGTTTGTTCTGATGGATCTTTTGATTTTAATTAACTTTTTTTTACATTTATACTCAGATTTTGAATTTATGATTCATATAATTCACACACCAACATATTTTCATAATCCAGCAGCCTGGTATTGATGTTTAAAGGCATAATACACCCAAAAATAGGCCTGTCGCAATAATCAATTTATTGACTTATCGCACAATATATGTACATGACCTCAATAATTTTTGGTGACACAATATATTGCCCATTATATTTACATAAAAATTAATGTCACCATGTTTTTTGCATTCCACTTGCGCCAGTGTCTTTTGCAGCTTCTTGTACATAATGTCAAGGTTCGTTGCGGCAAGGGAGAATGCAGAAACTTCTCAAACTTCACTTGAACAGAGTTTAATAATGAAAACGCAGGGTACATACAACTCAGGAGCACAATCAAACAACTAGTAACAAAGTTGACTGGACAACCAAGTTATTTGTGAATTTTTCTTTTTTCTACTTGTTACTTTGCACTTTTTGTTAGAAAATGTTTATTTACTATTTATTCAAGTTTTTTAAGGTATCTAATATTTTAATACTTAATTTCCATGATCTAAATATTATTAAAAATTAAAAGTTTGTTGTCATCTGAAAGTGAGTTGGCCTTCTTGCGTTATTATGCTTTTATATTATGATTATATATTCAGTGGCAAAAAATGGTCTTAAAACGACAATAATATTGTTTATCGCAATTATTTCTGGGGCAATATATCGCAAAACAAAAAGTTGTTATCATGACAGGCCTACCCAAAAATGCTAATTCTGTCATCATTTACTCATGCTCATGTCGTTCCTAACCTATCAATGAGAAACAAAACTGTTTGGTTGTCAGTAATCCTCAAAATATTTTCATTTGTGTTCAGCAGAAGAAAGAAATGCATACAAGGAGATTTCAATCTCTGTCTCTCTTTCAGATCATCGTCCCACTCATGTTGGAGTGAGCTGCTGTAAGGATGTGACGAAAGCAAGAATCCCTCCTTCAACTAAACTGATTGGATACAAGCAACAGAATGCTCTGAGTCCATGTGTGGATGCGATAATGTAAGCTCTCTCTATAGCGTTATTTCACAGAGGTTAATGTGCATTATATTGTGTTCATTTCATTTCATCTGCCCAGCAGATTCTACACAGAGAGGGAAAAGTAGGCTACTGCTCTGATCCAAAATCGTGCAAGACCGTCTGAAAGGTACAACGCTAAGATTAATATAATCTTAATATGATGCTTGCACTGATGAAAAACTAAAATAAAATGATCACCTTTCCTCCAGGTCTGAAGGAGATAATGGACTGAGTCAACGGAAGCTGAGAAAAGTTTTGAAAAATAACCGTTCAAGCTGCTTACTTTCACACAAACATCCAGCCTTTTCTCTGTAACAGTTTGGACTGTATTCAATCATATTTAAGCCAAATCATTAAAGAAATAGTTCACACAAAAAGGGAAATTCTGTCATCATTTCTCACCCTCATGTCATTCTGAATCTATTACTTTCTCTCTTGTGTGGGATACTATAAATATACTATAATGGTGTTTTTGAGACCTTTTTGATGTTTCAAAGATTTAGCCAACCTGTAGGCTAATTGAATGTAAATAATCAATATTGTTTTGTTGAACAAAACTAAACTAACTCTATCTAAACTTTTGCTAACCTATTACACCAATTCAAAGAACTGACTCAGAAGAGTGATTCATTTAAAAAAAAAAAACATTATTTTGTAAATGTCGTGTAATGCAATGTATTTACGCGGTTTAAGGTAAAAAAAAAACACATTATTTTCCACATACTGTAAATTACTGTTGTATCCATGCCCCACCTTTCTGAAATGCGTCTATTTTTACAAAGCTCATTGTTCTGAAAAGCGCGGTGTGCTCTGAATGGCCAGCTATCTAGTACATTGTGATTGGTCGAATCCCTCAAGCGTGTGAAAATGTTATGCCCCTTACCAGGTTCAGGAAACTTTCCTCTGTAAAATGCGCTGCACGCACTCCAATATTTGGGTTGTACTGTTCTGGAACAGCGTTGTAAATAAAAACTTAACCACTGATTTCCAGTTGTGTCGTCTTTTGGAAAGCGAAACAAAGTAGTTTGGCTTTCGCAACGAAACAGACAGCGTCTTCACGATATGGCAGCGGCGGCAACAATACTACAGCGAGAATAAAAGTTACGCCTTCTTTCTTTGCGTATACATTTGGGTGGTGTTATGCAAATCTATGTGAGGGCGTGTTTGAATGAGGCGATTTAGGAAGGCGTGGCTGAGCGTTCACTTTTATAAAGAATATCTCTTTGGGTTTGAGACATTAATCTTTGCGACACTACGGATCTTCTGTATGCACGAACAGCTTTTAACACTCCAAAGACAAAGGAAAACATGAAATCGCATCATATGACCCCTTTAATTCGGAGATATATATATATATATATATATATGTATGTATATATATATATATATATATATATACACACACACACACACACACGTGAAACTATTTC